GCCCCCTGAGCAGCAGAGAACCGAGCAGCTAGCTAGCTGCGAGGACAGATGTGACAGCCAAATGCCGGTTTACCTTGAGCAATGGGTTGACTACCCCGCCCAAAACTCCCCTTTATCTCTCTCGCTAGACATCCCCACAAGCTTGTTCAGCAAAGAACGCTGGTGGGCCGATGATGCAAGTATACATAGTGTGGCGTATCTCTGGGCGCCAGCACAGACCAACGAGAGGGGAACGGATATCATCTGCGGATGGGAATAGCCTGAGCTTGAGCATCGGCCGTACCCGCTGCTGCTGCTGGTACTGCTGAATCGTTATCGTTGTTCTCTGCATTGCTGTTCTGGTTGTCTTCTTCAGTGGCGCTCGTCTCTCGGTGCAGGAAGCTAGCCTCCTTAACGGGGCTGCCGGAGGCCGAGTTACCACCATTGTTGCCATTGTTGCCGTTGCCGTTACTGCCGTTACTGCCCTGACTGTGGCCCGTGGGCAGGCTGGGGTGGTGCTGCTGCTGGCCGTTGCCGTTGGGCGAGGACAGGTGGGGGATGTTCTCGGGCACGGGGTGCTGGCTACCCACGGCGCCCGTGTCGACGCTGTCGCCCTTGCCGGCCTTGCTCATGGCATAGTCGCCGCTGTCGAAATACTTGCGCTCCTTCAGGTGCTTGGCGAAGTGGTCCGACTTGGAGGGCAGCTTGCCGTAGAGACGGAAGAGGCGTTGCTCGTCGGGCGTAAGGGACTGTTATGTCAAAGAGGGGGGCCAAGAAGAAACCCCAACAAATGTCAGCCATGCAATTCCGTTGCTGTACTCCGTATGTATAATCGTGCGAGAATCTTGATATGAAACAGAGCCAAAGAACTGAATGTAGACTTGGGGGCATCAAGCTGCAACATCAAACGAGAGCTTGTCCTTATGACTTTATGGCTTTGCCCGTTTGCCGTGCTGGGTGGTTCTCTGTTTTGCGAGGCCGACTCACTTGTAGGTGCCCAAGCTGGAGGCACATACAACGGGGATGTGGGGGCAATGGGAGGGCGGAATCGGGTTACGAACCTTGATATCGACCTTGTTCTTCTGATGAGGATTCATTTTGGAGGGTAGATAGACGTGCGCTCGAGGCGACTGGGGAGGTTGGTCGGTTGTAAGTTTTCTGAGGTAGTCTCCAGCTCGAGATCGTGAGGTTGCACAGCTTGGTGGTTTTGGGCGGAACTGATAAGGGGACGTTCGATGTTTTTGTTCTCTGATCCGCTTAGCTGAATTTTGGGAATGGAGGGGAGGGAACTTTGGGCTGGCCGATTTCGACGTGGGGAATCAGATGGCAATGGGCTGGAAGTCGGAGGGATTGGTCGGTGCCAGCATTGCCAGGTGGGAAGGAGGTCTTGGAAGTCACTCACAGTCAGGCAATGGCTTGTTTTGTATGGCCAGGACAAAAAAAGGGTACAATACAAGTAGTCTCGTTATTCGCTATTCGCTATTCGCTATTCGCACCACTGACTGCCCACGCTCTATCTGGAAGTGAGCGTTCAGAGTATAGAGGCAGGTAGGGTGGCAGGTGGGTAGGTATGTATGTATGTAACTATATGTAGGTATGTATGCAGTCTGGCAGTAGACCGTCAACTATATGCACGCAGGGTGTCTGGGCGTGGACCTCTGCTCTTCTTTTGGTCTTTGGGCAGTATTAGCTGGCAGCTGGTAGGCCGGAAGGTACCGCGGAGGGCTCTAGGCAGGGAAGCAGGCAGTGGCAAGCCAATAGAATTACAGCAGGCTCGTGCCTTCGCAATCAACTTGCAGGAGTAGTCCGCAGTTGGAGTGGTTTGGCGTCTGGTGACCTTTCGCAATTTGTACCTTACGAGAGAGAGGTGATGGATTGCCGGACTGATTGATTGCGTTGCCCAAGTTGCTTCTTTCTCGAGAGACGACCTCGGGAGAGACGAGAGACGAGAGATGAATGGGTCCTGTCCCTGGGGCTTCTGGGGCTTCTGGGGCTTCTGGGGCTTCTGGGGCTTCTGGGGCTTCTGGGGCTTCTGGATCGGGACTTGAATCGGCTACAATAAGTGAGCGGGTTTATAGTGGGCGGTGTTGGTGGGTATGTATAGAGTGTCAAGAGCGTCAGGAGTGTTGGTCGGGTGTCTCGTGTTGAAGAGTTCCAACTTGCGAGTTCAAGGTTGCAAGTGTGGTGTATAAATTCCAGGTTGCAGGTAGGTATGTAGGTATGTAGGTATGTAGGTGGTACGTAGTATGTATACACAATGAGGTCAGTCTACGCTGTGAAGTGAGTTGGTATGTACAAGGTAGTATTCGTTGTATGTAATTGCCTGCTGTACGCAGTAGATACCACTGCCGGGCATTGTTTTCTTTCTTTGTCCCTGGTGTTTACTCAATTCATGCAACACCACAAGACACCAGACCGCCTACAAGCCTACAAGCCTACAAGCTTACAAGCCTACAACACAACTGACACGCCTCCATCCTCCCCCGTTGCTGCTAGCCTGACTAACCTATCATCTTCGCCCATTCATTATAGGCTGGGACTGTGAATTAAGCATCATCACCGTGGATACGTGACTCAGTCTCCCACCCTTCCTTTCACTTGGGAGCCCATCCTTTGAGCAACGACAAAAGCACGATGTGACATCAGCTTTGATAAGTAGCAGAAGCTGGCAGTCTGTAGTTACTGACTAGACCCCAAATCCCCTTTAGCCCCCTTGCCTCCGTTGCGCTATACTCGCAAACTTCCCCTAGCATGTCTTGAGCCTATCTGCCTATGAGATCTCCGACCCTATGCCACGACGAGCTATCAAAGTACCGAATGTAGATAGCGTACGCAGACTAGAGGAATGGATTGCCATGGATCTCGATGATCCCCCTCCCCTTTTGTCCTTTTGTTCTTTCTTTCGCTTCTCAGAAACCTGTCTGTCCAATGCTAACCCTTCCGGGAGCCGACCGTGGTACCGATCATCACTGGCGGAACGACGACGACCATCACCACGCCCTGGCGATCTTCAGTCTTGGTGAAACTCGGCTGTGGGAATCCAGCCCGTACAAGTCCATAGGTATTGTGCAATCGACAATACATCCCACCATCTCTCACCGCGGCCGCTGCCCGTCTCTAGGGAGGTATGTATATGCTCACCATGGATTGCCATCAGCCGGACCTTGTCCCTGTGCCACGAGGGGGGCCTGTGACGTAACACCGAGGTAGGCATTACGCCCACCAGCGCGAGCATCATCGTGATCATCCATTCCACGCCGCTTCTATCGGCAATGGGCAGAGGGCGGGACAGAATGGGCATGCGAGCCAGCGTTGCACGGCATCGTCGACATCCAGACCTTACATACTTACCTCCTACTGCACACCGGCCACCTCTTTAGACTCCTTAAGCTAGCTGCTCAGGTTAGGGATGCTGCTCATCCTCCACACCTGCAGGAGGGGTGCGATAGGTACGCCGCAGTTGGTAGTATGCAGCTAATTACTTAGCTATCCTCTGCCCACCCTGGCACGTCCCCGGCTGTGCATTATACTACATGTGTATGCACTCACATCGCTCATCGTAGGATGCATGGTGATGATAACGCTGATGGTGATGATGGTGATGATCATGCGTTCTCCATCGTCTCTGTCCAGACCTTGTCACCATTCACCGTCGTCCCTCGCTACTTCTGCCATAATGGTGTCGGTCAGGTGAAGAGGCACCAACATCCCATCATCTCCTGCAAGTGGGGTGCTCGGTCAACGACATACATATATATATATATATATATATGGCAGAGGCGGAGAGAGCCTCCAACTCTGTTCTGTTTGGTGTCTTTGGGGACAGATTATATCTACTGCAGGATACTGAGACCAGGTCTCCTAGGCATACCCCTTTCGCAGTAGCTATTGAGAATCAGTGGCTGCTCACGCAGCTGTAGCTGTTGTCCAGGCTCTATCCATTGGAGCTTTCGCCAGAATCTATGCACGCGAGTGCATAATACCCGAACCTATTAGGATCATCGAGATAGCTTCAATATTGTGTATCTCTCTATTCGTCGTCTTCTTCTCCTCTATCGATCCCATCTCCTTGCCTCGTCCTTGCCTGCATGATCTCATCGACGTAGCATCGTCCTCACAGCGACTAGATGCCGGTACATTGATCAGGGCCATTCATTCAACATGGGAGGCAGTTCGCGTCCGAACATGTGATTGACCGAATCCAAATCGTCAAAGACTGTGGCCTCAGCTCCAGAATACCTGCTCATGTATGCATCTCGTTCAGCAAAGGACGCAGTGTAACCCTCCCTCTTGCCATCCCGTCTTAGATTGCGTGCATATATACGCACCCGAGATCAAAGCATAACTGGAGCTGCTATAGCATAGTTCATGTCGTGCTAGGTATGGCCACATGCTGGCTTCGGACATGGCCGACCACAGGGTGATCGATCTGGCAATGGGTATCATCGGCAGGGTTCCTCGGTCGTATGAATATCCTAGTCCGGGAACGAGACGTCTTGTTGGTTGCGAGAGCCTCGTGCTACGAAGTCTGGAGACAATATGCTGTTCAGGGTGTTACTGCTTTCCAGCCGTACGATCGCTGGTCACTGATAGGTGGTTTGTATCTCCGTACCTAGGGCTTCGACATCTCCTTTCCGCCATTTTTTATCCAGCTATACTCGCAATAGCCTTTTCGAGGTTTAAAGTACACGTACTACTGGACATAACGACTACTTCGACCTATGTGCAATATTTGGTGGCGATCTGCTAAAACTCTGCCAGTTTCTGAACGACAGCCCCTGAATGGGGCGCAATATCTACTACACTGGTACCCAGGGCACCCGAGGACAATGCTTTACTGTTAGTGTTCACTTGCCCCTGAAACACATAGCGGAATTTGGCTTGCGCATTAACTATAGACAAACCTACTCGCCATTAAGATTCAAAGCTTGGACTGAGCCTCGAACTCTATATCCATCCCATGGGAAGCAATCCAGCCAGCACCTCTTATATATCGAGATAACTCTCTTCACCTTTAACAAGGCCGCGTGGTGTAATGGTTGCACACTCTCACAAAAATCTCCTCTATATCTCTACTACTTCTTTCCCTGTTGAGAGAGGGGCGGGTTCGATTCCTGCCGTGGCCAAAACTTTTTTTTTCTGTCTTTTTTCTTCCCCTTCCCCCTCAACTTCTCACACACCCAATCACATCTAGCTAACGACTACTTGAAAGTCTCGGTGAACTAGGACATTGAACCTAAGTAATGTCAAGACGATAATGCAGACATCTGCATTAGAACCAGTCTCATTGGCTTGGGTTTCCTATAGAGCTTTGGCGTCATTTCGTCAACGGGAGAAAGAGAATCGATTTTCTTCGTGAGAGGGGAGGGGTGGTGGGTTCTATATGGTATCCCACAGCCACTTCTTCCGCTAGTATGGAAAGCCGGAATCGAGTGGTCAAGATCTTGCCCTCAGAAGAAGATAAGAAAGGGGATTCGCGAGGGAAGGAATTCATACACACACATACCTCGTTGAGCGGTAGCGTCCCCTACATCCGCCTTCACTAGGCAGGCAGCGCACAAGCGCTTGCAAAGAAGTCATTGCTTTACTCTATCCGTAAAACAATATCGTCTTCCCGGAGATGTGGTAGCTCGACTATCGTCCAGGCAGATTGTGTTGCCGGCTCGAGACAGGTCGTCAGGAATTGAAGCTGGGGACAGCCTCCCTCGAGTAAGTCCTTACAATCGCGGAGCGCGTTGCGATATTCGCAACAAGCCAGCCAGCCAGCAAGCAAGCAATAGACAGCGTGGACAGGAGAGGTCAGCCATGCCAGGAAACTAACCCGTGACCAACATACCAATACAGTACAGATCTTTCCCGCCTTCTCGTCTTATGAAGGAGTTGGGGGGCGAGGTTCGTTTCATACCTCCTATCTCATTTGGCATCTGGTTGGGCTCGGACTTGGTAGGTATACCTATTCTAACCATCTCGCCGCCTCACTTTGAACAATCTAGCAGAGCAAGCTTGCGGTCATGGCAGGATCACATAGGTGAAAGTGGTCGGTCTCAGAGTAACTAGCAAGCAGCCGAGCGAAGCCCGGGGTGGACTTTCTTCCTGCTGCCCTCCTTGGCATGCCTGGGAAGCCGAGTTGGTTACACGCGGATCGAGACGACGCAAGGCAAAGCAAAAGGCAGTGGACAAATAAAATTATAGAGGTAGGATTTAACGATGTAAGAATCGACATGACTTCCGATTGGACTGACCAAAATGAGATTGATACATGATGGCAACTAATTATAACACGTTATTCGTACTTGACAAAGAATCGATTAGCTGTTTTTTTGATGGTGCGACTGGTCGTCTAGAAAGGACTACTTATTCAGACCCAATCGACCATGACTTTATAATGCCCCTCCCACCCGGACTTGACTGTTACCTCCGCTCGGGGCCCCCTTCGTCTTCGTCTTCGTCTTCTCTCCTCGCCTCTCTCTGCATTTACTATTTACATATAATGTACGGTGATGGGTACAGTGGCGGGAACTGGCACGCGGAAATCAATTGACCCCTTAAGACGCCTTTCGATGCTGGGAGTTCGCATGAACCCAATTTCGGCCCGGGAGGTCGATCTGTTCGGAGCATGGTGACTGATTCATCGTAGCGTGGGAACGACGGCATCTGAGCATCAACAAACCTCCCAGTTTTTCTTCTGCTTGTAAGCCCGGAAATATCTTTTAGGGCGAGACTTCCACAAATGCAAATCAAATCAACCAACTCCAGCCCCATTTGTCGTGAAAGATCCAAATATGGACAAGTCGCTGAACCAGGTTCAGCTTAAAAGAAACCTCCCCTGTGCTGTAATTCGGCCAATTCCTAATGGTCATAACCAGCACCGCGTTGCCATGGGCTGCGGGGGCGTTAGTATATAAACGTAGATTCTGGGGGAAATGGTAGGAAACGGCTTACCTGGCGTTGTTCTGTGACCTGTAGCCGGCAGGGCTGGCATTGTTCTGCTGCCGCAAGGAGGCGGCGGATGAACCGCCGTATGGACTCGGCGCTCGGTTCGGGGCTCCTGCGGGGAATAACGGCACGGATGGATCTACGGGGGAGTGGGCTGCGTTCTGGTGTCCGTTGCTGTACGAGTTGTTCGATGCGGAGTTGAACGAAGGTGCCGGTCTTGAACCCAGGTTAGAATCCGTTGTGCGACGCTTCATTGAGGCAGAGGAGATGGACTCATTATCGTCATCCAGATCCAGACCCGGCTTGTATCCACCTTTGTCACCACGAGCGGTTGCAGCGAGAGCATCGAGCTCGGTAGTGCCGGTCAGTTGCGACTGAGACTTCATAAACGACGCCCGGTCATCTGCCATGAACTGGTAACGAGTATCGGGATTCTTGCGGTAAAAGACCATAACGGTAGTGACGATCACCATGATGAGGAGGACGGTGGCGAAGATAGCATTCAAGAAGAAGAGGATAAGACCGATAACGCCATTTACCAGTGGTGGCTGGTTGAAGATATCCGAGAAGATCAAAAGGAAAATGGCATTGATGAAGTTAACGGCATAGATGGCGATATTGAACGAGTTGGTAGGCTTGTCCATCCATGGCCTCATCACACTGGCAGTGATCAGAGCAGCGGCTTCGATCAACAGGAATCCGATAGCCGTGGCCGAGCTACTATGCTGACCGAACGCAATGAACAGACTCTTCACCAGCATGTAGCCGAGGACGGGAATGATGAAGTAGTAAGCCGATGCTCTGAACTGGATGTACAAGAAGCCCCACTTGTTCAGAGCCTGAGGGTCAGAGAAGAGGATGTAAGCTGGGTTGCGGTGCATGACGATGGAACGGCGAGCAATGCGAACAACCTTCCAGGCAGCCCAAGTGAGGGTTGCCGTGATACCAACAAAGAAGAAGACGGCCAGGACGACCTCGGCAGGAGAGTCAACCTGGGTAAACTCCCAGAGGCAGAGGATGGTCATCTGCGGAAAGCCAATGAGGGTTAGTCGGAACAAGATGCCCTTCAAGACGGTAAGCCATCCGTTGCGGAACTCGAGGAAAGTGTCGCTCTTCATCCACTTCTGCTTGACTGCAAGCTCGCAATAGGCCTTGAAGAGAGCGACACCGCCGGTGGTAAAGATGACGAACAGGCAAAAGAATGTCAGGCCTGTCATGAAAAGGTTTGTCGTCTCGATGCCGGCACGGAAGGCGGCACGCTGGATTCCGTATACGATATAAGAGCCCGCGCCCGTCGTGATATTCGCACGTTTCATGAGGGCCGATGCGGCTCGGGGAACCATGGCAGCACCGCGTCGGTAAATATCCTTGGCTATCTCGGGAACGGCACGCTTCTCAACCTGGACGGAAACAGTAGTAAGGGTATTGAATATGGTGGACGGTGTGCCACCGGTAGCTCGCTGATACCATGTAAAAATTGTCTGCATGAAGGGAACCTTGATGATACCCATCGACCACTGGAAGTCCTGAGTCCACGACTGAACGACGGGGGGGAGGTGGACGCCAGTAAGACCGAGCATAGCCTGGGCCTGGAAGAAGCCGAAGAGGGAGAGGGCTCCGGACGCGATGTGAGCAGCGGCATTGGAATGACCCAAGCCGTTCAACACGGCAGATGCGCAGAGGCACAGGCCACTGATAATGGCCAGAATCCACTTCACAGCCAACAAGTCGACCGTTTTTCCGTTGGAGACATCGGCCTCGACACAAGCAACGCTTTCGCCCGTGTCGGACCTGTTCACGTAGATGCGCACGGTAGCATCCAGATCGGGGAAGCTGTAGGCGATACTGGGAACCATATCGGCGGCACTGTCCGGAACGGGAGTAGTGAACTCGATACTGATCTTGCCAGCCGTCATGGGGCAGAGACCAGCCAGACCACTGCCCTGGGCAATTGCACTCACAGCCGGATCACAGGGATCCAGCACCTGCCGGATGAACTCGAAGCCATAAGCGGCGATACTGAAATCGAACTTGACGTAGCCCTCCAGCGAGGACGTCGCAATGGTGTTGATGAAAACGCTGCCCGACTCAGGCGTGTACGAGACGTTGAACAGACTAGCTGTAAACATAGAATTCTCCTGGCATACATTAAGAGAAGTGGATTCAAGCTTGCGCTCGGCGGCAGCGCCCGGGAGGACGGCTGACAGGCATGTCAGCCAGACTGGCCTGGCCCAAGAGAACCTCATGATTATCGTTTCGTATCGACCGTATTGATCCTAATATCCCTATATCCTTTGGTTCGTAAATTAATTCGAAATTGCGCGTAACGTGAAGGGCAAAGTCGGTGGCATGTGGTTAGTTAGTCCAGAGTAGTCGCGTTGTCGACCTTTGTTTTGGTCGTTGGCGATGGTCCTCGAGTGGTGCTCGAGAATCTGGACAATCAATTAAGTGGGAATAAAGAAATCCCCGTTCTCGATTTCAAACGATTGTGGTGTGAATATTAGACAGGGAGGAAAATAGCGAGAGTAGTCCTGCCAATGCACGGGAGTCCAAAGTGAACCGAATCTCCTTGCCTCCCTAGGAGAATGATCGTGAAGATGAAGATGGATGGCCGGTCGTGGAAAAGGGGGTCATTCGGAAACGCGCGTAAATCGGTAGGTTGGTACGGTTGGACGGTGGAAAGTAGACAAGGCCGAGCCGGAGATGGAACACGGCGAGCGGCAGACGAAAGACGATATGCTCGATGGAGGATACCCGTTCGCAGAAGGGACCTGTTGTTGTGGTTGTCGAGCAGTATGGCGTCGAATGGTGAAGGGGGGGAAGTAGAATGGAAGACTAAGACGTAGTAGAGGTGGTGCTGTATAGTTAAACGACGGAGAGTTCGGGGCAAGAAAACGAAAGGGTCTGACTGTGACTGGATTGGGCAGACTAAACAAGCAGACAAGAAGCGCCTTTGGCCTTTGTGGAAAGGCTTTGTGGAAGGGAAAGTCGTGTTTCTGGGTGTCCTGGGTGGGTGTGTCGTGGGTGTTCGGGGTGTCTGGGAGGGCAAGATGGGCGAAATCTGGGACGCCATGGGGACGCCCAGGGACCTAGCCAGAGACTACCTCCTAGAAGGGCCTAGAGACGCTGTGCAAGTGTGTACCTGTGTATGTATACACTTGTGCATGCACTAAGAAGGGGGCGGGTGGGG